AAGGATCACCGAAAATGAATACATAAAATAAACATTGAAAACAAAAATTAAAAAGTAAACAATATAAAAACATAAAATAACAAAAAAAAACAACAATGAAAAAAAAACATTATAAAAAAAGAAACAGGGTGGCAGCATGTCCACGACGAAAGATAATTCTTACAAGAATTTTTGCTATGAATTATAGGGTAGTTTCCTAATTTTTTTTTATTTAAATTTACGTCTAGAACATTAATTTAAAACTTTAGTCACGTATTTTTGCTTTCCTCACAAAATTAAATACTTTCGACGGTACAATAATTTGAAATATCGTGTGACGTCACAGCGTGCCACATTTTGTTTGTAGCACGTTATGACGTAACAACCTCCCACTCCTAAACTTAGCGCCATTTTATCTAAGTAGTAGCTACTTCCGCGCGGTTTCACACGCTCTGCTCAGCTCCTATTGGTTGTAGCGTGACGTTTTATAGCCTATTTTTTTTAAGGGGGGAAAATCATCGAATGACTGCTCCCGCCTGGGTGAGGCGGAAGGGAGTGTCAGACTCTTACTGACTAAAAACCACCCCGTTCCTTCTCCTGCACGTCGAGCCGGAGCCCCGGTTACCCGTTAGGTTCTCCGCGACGTTTTATAACCTATAGCCATCCTCAATAAATGCACTATCCAACACAAAAAAAAATTCAAATCAGACTTGTAGTTCCGGAGATTAGCGCGTTTATACAAACAAACAAAAAAAAACTCTTTAGCTTTATGATACTAATATCACTTTTCATTGTATTTTAATAATCAAAACACAAATTTTTGTTTTTTAGATTGCAACTTTATATGAGAAAATAAAAAAATACGTGCCTAATATTTTTTCATTACCTAACTTTACGGACTAATTAGATTTTTAATTTTAATAAATGGAAAATACCCAATTGCATAAAAAAATACGTGCCTAATATTTTTTCATTACCTAACTTACGGACTAATTAGATTTTTAATTTTAATAAATGGAAAATACCCAATTGCATAAAAAAATACGTGCCTAATATTTTTTCATTACCTAACTTTACGGACTAATTAGATTTTTAATTTTAATAAATGGAAAATACCCAATTGCATAAAAAAATACGTGCCTAATATTTTTTTCATTACCTTACTTACGGACTAATTAGATTTTTAATAAATGGAAAATACCCAATTGCTATACACAATTAAAAAAATGATCTAAAATTAATTATTTCACTTATTAGTAAATGCAAATTTTGGGCACAATGAACAATCTAGAGATTTCCTAAATAGAATAGTAATGGGCCGAGTAATTGACGTTACACACCGTACGATTTATTTGGATGAAATGGTATAAGGGCCCGGTGCCTCAGACGTATCCAGTTTCCGAATTAACCTGGCCAGTAGCCAGTAGTAAGTATACCAGTTATCTGTCAGTCAATCTAAGGGACAAGATGATCCTCTACCGATGATTTGAAGAACCAAAATCTAGCTCGACTCCTATTACTTTATCACGTAGGATTATCTCGCTGACATGGCATTTTCATGTGTGAATAGTAGCTATTATAATAGCATTCAGAGTACGAAATATAAAGCCAAACTCAAAACCATTTAGTTCATTCAATATCCACGCAATACGGATGCAATGGGCGCTAGTGTTGCAACTCAAGAGTACGAAAGTTCACAATACCAATGTCGATCTATAGAGTAAGCATTGGATGCCGTGTCGGACAATGCTGTCCGAAGCTAGCGGAATATTGACCTTAAGAAGTTAAAAGGCTTAAAATGTTATTTAATCCTTAGTTTTACTGTTGTAAATTCCTCAAACATTCGTTGTCATTAAGGTTTTGACAGCCAATAGAAAACTGTTGAAGGCAAATCCTCCGCTTACGTCGGTCACCGGCGACCCCCATTGCGACTTTGTTTTATACTATGTAGTAAAGTAATGATAATAGACAGATCATCACTACATAGTATAAAACAAAGTCGCAATCCGCTGTCTGTCTGTCCCTATGTATGCTTAGATCTTTAAAACTACGCAACGGATTTTGATGCAGTTTTTTGCAATAAATCAAATCAAATCAAAAATGTTTATTTGCTGAAATACGGTACAAAAGGTGTTACAGTAAATTTTTTTTCCAGCGTATCCTGCCGTATATGGCGTGCAAATTTATTATTAAAATTACACTATCAAGATTCTATCGTCTTATCTTCTAAATAGTCCTTAATACTATAGTAACACTTGGATAGCAAAAGTTTAAAAAGCATTTTCTTAAATAATGTCAATGGTAATTCTTGTAAACTATTTGGTAATTTATTATAAATGATTATGGACATACAATATACATTTTTCTTAAATAATTTTAATTTTATTCGTGGTAAACGAAGTCTGTCTTTATGCCGTGTTCGGCTATTTGGTCTGTCTTCCAGAGTTTCAAATAGAATGTAATTTCTTTTTACAAAAGTACATATTTCAAAAATGTATAGACATGGTAAAGGTAGATAGAATGATTCTTAATCCTTTGAGTACCGTCATTATAGACACAATTAAAGAACAATAGGTTGCGGTCACCGGTGTCATCGCGGTGTTTGACAGTTTAAGGAAGGTTTACACGTATAATACATAAATATTGCACCCGTGCGAAGCCGGGGCGGGTCGCTAGTTATACATAATTAGTGGTCCTAATGGTGCTCCTTTTTATTAACGAGTTTTCAATCTCTGTGAACGATTAATAAATAAGTATGACTAGCTTTTCGTTTCGTTCGTTCGCGTAGAATTAGTGACTTCCGGCAGATTTTTTGTTTTACCCACATAGTTCCCAATGTCGCGATTTTTGAGAAGTTCCCACTTTCGCGGGATTTTCGGGATAAAACTATCCTATGTCCTTTCTCGAGTTCCAAACTATGTCTGTACCAAATTTCATCCAAATCGATTCAGTAGTTTTGGCGAAAAGAATAGGCAGACAGAATAGACAGACAGACAGATTATATACCCATATTCTGACAGTTTGAGTATTTGTGCGACCCACGCAAATGTTCTTTAGGTTGGTATTGTTCGTCGAATCAGTCAGCCTCACCTGTTAATTGAGCTAACTGTAAACTGACACATGCGTACTACCTTCAGAACGGGTCCGCTCAAACTTTTGTGGTTCTTTCCTCAAAAGGCCACTACAGAAAGAACTTGCACGGTTCTCACACATAATATGTTATACATAATATTGTCTGGACTTTAAAAGATACAGACCTCTGAGTTTGTTTCTGCATTTCTTCTTAGAGTAGTCAGTTAGGAAATATCGGCCTCATCGTTCGCTTGATACAATTAACGTGTAAAAGTGCTGCCTTGTAGCCTATTTGCAGAAATAAATTCACTTGTTTCACTTGACAGACAGACAGAGTTACTTTTGCATTTATTACTTTAGTTTGGATTTATTAATAAATAAAAAATAATAATAAAAATATAATGAATTTACTGGGAAAATTCAAAACTGACTTACCTATATTCAACTGAAACTACAAAATGTAGAATAATTTTATTTAGCTTGCCCCGTTTGTTTGTTTGGTTGAAGAACCGTAATTGGTAATTGTAATTCCACCCCCTTCCTGACGACAGATCAATCTGATATTTGGTACACACTCTTAATCTTGATGTCCATACAATATAATCGAATTTTCCCACAACTACCGTCACTATGGATATCAAACGAAAGGGCTTGATTGGTGGAATAGAGCTCATTAAAACTATTAAGAAATTATTATAAAGCTTCTTGTTTTGAAATGAAACTACAAAATCTGGATAGTAATATTTTATATTAGTATTCATCCTCATTTAACAATCATTTCAATTAAATTTTATGTCTATTTATCCAGCCATTTTAGACATAAAATTTATTTTTTAAAGATACATTGTTTTTAATATCTATTGACTAATTTAGAACTTAAATTGAACATATAATGATACGTTTTTTAAGTAAGTAAATCATATTTTTTACAAATTGACAGGAGTTTGGAAATACATTTGAATACATTTTTCAAAGAACCTATGTCATATTATGGCGTGTACCAGGCCCGCGTTATGTACCATGACTTGTTTCTGTGTACAATAAAGTTTAAATAAATAAATACAAGGTGTTGTTTTAAAGCCGCGTCATTTTCTAGGAGGTAACTAGGCTATCGATTCTGAGTCCGAATCAATAAAAAAAATTGGAGGTAAATATTTTTCATTTTTCTGAAATTACGGAAATCCGTAAGTGCGAAGTACACGCCGCCGTTTTGTAATTAGCTTTATAACGCGGCTCACACAAACTCAAACACGTAATTGATATTAATTCTAATTCCATAAAATTCAAATAAGAAACATTGCTGTCGCTTATTTTGAAATACTGTCGAACTTAAACGATTTATTATAGCCGTATTTTTAACTAATGGCCCGAAACTCTCTTTTACATTGAACCTTTATAACTTCTGTGACATATCCCCGAGAAATGACACGGCTTCGAAACTACACCTTGTATATTATTATAATTATGTCAAATAATTCCACATTCAAAGTATTTTTTTAAATGTCAAAAACTATAGTCTATGAATTTTAAATGATTTTTTTTTTATTCATGACCATAGATACAAGTGAATTTTACTTGAGATGATGAGATGAGATTTAAGATGCCGCTGGGTGGTAACTTATTGTATTACAATAGTTTTGCGTCATATAAAAAAATATATATTATTTTCTTTTAAATTATTTAGTCAAAGTAATTTTTAAATAGATCTGTACATAAGAATAACATAATTTTCAAACACTGTAATATTTTTTCTTGGTAAAAATGTAATAAATAATTGGTACTCTAACTCCATCTTTTGGAGAATACGTGGAAACTTCTTGAAATGAATATTCTGTCAAGTCATTCAAAAACAATGAAATAAGAGCGGTTTTTATACAAAACATAAAATCCAGCAAGAAAAATGTACAAAAATATTTTCAAACGGTATTGCAGTTTACAGAATTATAAATTTAAGCGTCGTACATTCGATTTTCGACCACATCTTCTATTGAGTAAGGATGGTTTTCGTTGGCCAGCATGTTGGAGATCCACTGTTCTGGAACTGGAATATTTTCGACGACAAACATTGGTAGTTTGGAACGAGGTTGTGTTTCCTTCATATTTTCTTGATTTTGCGCCAAGAACTGTAAAATATGTTAAAATGTCAAGTTTTTTTTGTATCTAAGACGCATTTTGAATGTAGTAATAATAATTTCTGACCAGTCTTTCTTTTTTCAAACAAACATACAAGTTCACATACACAATGACTCGCAGATCTGAATGAATAATATGTGGATCACACAAAGAGCTGTTCCATGCAGGAATCGAACACGCTACACGTTGCGCTGCGTTACCTAGCCAACGCGTCAACCGTGCAGTCGTAGTGATAATGACAATCATATGTAAGCCTACCGTACGGATGATGAACATGAACATAATATGTTAAAGAACACAGATGTTAAAGACAACATTGTATTCAATGCTTTTTTAAAAAAAAATCTTTACACGAGTTAAGTTACGGCGATCGACAAATTAATTAAAAAGAATTTAATTTTAATGTTTATTGTTACAATGGTTCTACAAGACTGATTATAATAATAAGTAATATCTAATTCTAACTTATTGTTAAATATGCACTTTTGGCTACACGTGCTGATCGTCCGGAACTTGGTCAGCAATCATGGGTGCGGCGCATGTCCATTGATTGCTTAACTCACGGCCTAATATCTTCTCCTGTATCGTGTATGCGTTTACAAATTAACAAACGATTTCACCCAGATACGGAACGGATCACATAAACAAAGAATTATAACCTGGGTGCTTATTCTTGAAACCAATCTCAATGTCAATGCTATTTCAATCCAATAAAATCTCAATAATTATTCAATGTCAAAACTATGCAACCACAATCGCAGCTGTTAATATAGCATTTAAGAGTACGGGATATAAAACCAAACTCAATACCATTTAGTTCATTCAATATCCACGGAATACGGATGCAATGGGCGCTAGTGTTGCAACTCGAGACTACGAAATTTCGCAATACCAATGTCGATCGATCGGAATTGGATTTAAGAGTAAGCCACCTGCTTTAAGGTACCCAGTCCCTTCATACCTTCACAGTATCAGGTCCTCGTTTCTTCCGAAGGTAGTTGAAGCAGCAGGACCTGAAGTGCCTGGTGCCGCACGCAGACGCGCACTCACTGCCGCAGGAGTCGCATGATAGACTGGCTGCCCAGAGTGTGCTGCCTGCATAGAAAAACACAGCTAGGTCTTTATATATATATTTTTTTTATGGCATAAGCCGGTAAACGAGCTAACGGATCACTTGATGGTAAGCAATCGGCGTCACCCATGGACACCTGGAACACCAGAGGCGTTACAAATGGGTTACCGGCTTTTTGGGAATTAGGAGTTTGAGGATCGATGGGGATTCAGGGATTGGGGAGATTGGGGAATGGGAAGGTAATTGGGCTTCCGGTAATCTCACTCACACTACGAAACACAACGCAAGCGTTGCTTCACGTCGGTATTCTGTGAGGCCGTGGTATCACTCCGGTCGAGCCGGCCCATTCGTGCCGAAGCATGGCTCTCCCACACTTTAAAACTATATTGTAAATTATGACAGCGAACTGTGGATTTTGAGACAATTTATTCTTCATAGTGTGGTGAACCAAAAGGCATTTAGGGGACGAATGACCGTGAGAATTGATATTTCTCAATTCAAAAGTACAAATATTCAATAGGTTTGGTTTCATACTTCGAACGATGAATACTTACATTGAGTTTTCTATTATCTCGATCACATACATTAAATACCTTTTGACTTGGCACAAGAGATGGTCTACAGAAGTGTGGGAGAGCCATGATAGGACACGAATGGGCGGGCTCGACCGGAGTGATACCACGGCCTCACAGAAGACTGACGTGAAACAACGTTGCGTTGTGTTTCGTCGTGTGAGTGAGGTTACAGGAGGCCCAATTACCCCTCCCCTCCTTTCCTAATCCCTGAATCCCCAACAATCCTCAAATTCTTATCCGTAACATACTTGTAACGCCTCTAGTGTTCAAGGTGCACGTGAGCGACGCCGATTGCTTACCATCAGGTGATCCGACGCCGTTTACCGGCTTATCCCGTAAAAAAAGGAGAGATAGATAAATAATTTGTTAACACTAATTATCGAACTAATAAACATTTAACACATATATATTCTTATCTTAATGATTTATTTTATACACCCGAACCACATATTTTATAAAGGCTTTATTTTTTACACAATCCTATTTAATAACATACATTTTCCGATACTTCTAAACATTTACAGCCAATCTAAATTTATCTAACATATAAAAACAGTTATTACCTTCTCTTCATCAGATGCATCCCTCACCAAACTCAAAGTCCTATAGGCCCAACACAAGTATTGTATAATAACTTACTGGGCCTGCCTCAATGTTAGACAGATTTTGTAATTTTTAAGATATTTTTTTAAGGGACAAGCCCGCCACAACCTCTCAAAACCGCTGCAACTCCTGTAAGCCAGGATCTACAGTAGACACAACCATGCAAACACCGGAACACTGAAGTCCGGCGCGTCCCAGGGACATGAGTAACTGTCTTGGTTCCCGCAACGATGTGAATCAGAAGATATTATAAGAGGAGAAGAAGAAGAAAAAACTACATATAGTTTCCACTTCCCTCGGTGAATTACTGCAGGAGACAGGATGAATTAAGCCTAAAGGCACAAAGAAGAGACTGTACAACTGGGTGAAGCCCAGTCGCCAAGCACCACGGAAATTTGATTAAAAAACTAAGTGGGTCCTATGTGTGAGCTGTTATACTTGCTGTTATTCTTAAGATAATAAACAATTTGAATATGAATATAGAGAGGAGGAATAGAAGGTGTGAGTGAGGTTACCGGAGGCCCAATTATCCCCGTCTCCCGAATCCCTAAATCCTCCACAATCCTCAAATTCCCAATTCCCAAGAGGCCGGTAACGCACTTATAACGCCTTGGTGTTTCGAGTGTCCATGGGCGGCGCCGATTGCTTACCATCAGGTGATCCGTCTGCTCGTTTACCGGCTTATGCTATAAAAAAAAGAGGCAGCTTTTCAAGCCCAGTACATACAATACTTTGGATCTCAAACCAACGACTAATGATGCAAACTAACACTTAGTTACTATACATATATCTATATCTAGTAAATATTTTTACGGCCTGGCCTAACATTCAAATCCTCCTCATATACTTGACTTGTCGTAGTGATAAAACTAAGTTTTTTCTGCATATTTAGGTTTATTTCTTACGTTATGAAATTGACAATACCTAAATTCAAATTAATTACTGATTTGTAGGTATTAACTCGTCGAGTACCATATTTATAGACACAATTGAAGAACAATAGGTTGCGGTCACCGGTGACCGCTCGGTGTTTGACAGTTTGATATTAAAATGAAAAATAAAAACTTAAATACCTACAACTGCGATTAACATGAATTTCTTGGGTAGTTTCCAGGGTATCAAAATTAAAAAATCTAATTAGTCCGTCAGTTAGATAATGAAAAAATATTAAACACGTACTTTTTTCATTTTGTCGTATGAAGTTACAATACTTAGATAAAATGGCCCTAAGTTTAGGAGTGGGGGGTCGTTACGTCATAACGTGCTACATAATGTGCCACACTGTGACGTCACACGATATTTGAAATTCGAAAGTATTTTTGTGAGAAAAGAAAAAATACGTGTCTAAAGTTTTAAATCAATGTACCTACCAGACGGGCATTAAAATAAAATTTAAGAAACTACCTCATTGAAAAAACGTACACGATTATTGTTATTAGTCTGTTTTATTGTTTGACAAATCAAGTATATGAGTGACTATTCATAACACTGACATCTCCTGACCGGTCCATGCTCCTGACTGACCTGATGGGAAATCAGATGATGCTGTGGCCTCTTTCTTATGGCGTTTAGAGTCTGCCTGCGACCAAGTCGCTGGCAAATTAAAATTAATATTAGGTCAAGAACAAAATCATATATAGTCATATATAAAAATAACTATATTAATAAAAATAACGTAGATAACGTAAACATCATAAAAATATGGATAAAGTGAATAGAACAATTTTATTTATTTTTAGTTTTTATTTGCATGATATATTAAAATAAGGAAATAAATAAATATAACATATTACATATTATAATAAATATAACTTAAAAATGACTATACTACATATATATACACTACATTTTTTAAAATTATTATATGAACCATGAGTCATTTTAGGTTTAAATCATTGTCGTTTTACTTACTCATAAAAAAATAATTTTATAAACACTAACAATAATTTTGGTCTGTACCTACGTAATTGAACAGAAAAAAATGGAGTAACGTTATCTTTGTAAGATAACGCGTGTAGACAAGAAAACTCAAAAAAATTTGAAAAAAAGTATAGTGATTTCATCGAATTACAAGTATTAAAAAATAGAAACCTGTATATAAAACATGACGAGCTCAAAATCAAATGTAAAATCAACTTAATAACAGAAAAAATTACTTACCAATAAGCAATAACGAAACGATAGCTGTGATCTTGAACATTTTTACAACAAGTAAAAAAATTAACGTATATTCAGCTACTTCCTCAAGGCTTCAAAAGATGGCGTTGGTAGCGATGTCACAAGCAGAATGGCCGATATCTTCTATCCACCCCTTTTTATATTGGCTAAAGTTTGCCTAGTTTAAATGCGTCGGCGTTTCGTGACAAAAATACGGCGTATTTTTGCGTAGGACGAGTGGTTAAAAGCATCTATGTTAACCATGAGGGCCTACGTTCAATTCAAAATAGGTTTTGGGGCGGGAAAAATATGAATTGTTCAAGATTTTTATATTAGAGGTAGGATGTTTGCAAAATTACTTAAGATCACGCCTTTTATCCCCAACTAGCTACTTCCGCGCGGTTTCACTCGCTCTGCTCGGCGCCTATTAATCGTAGAGTGATATATTATAGCCTATAGCCATCCTCGATAAATGCGCTATCCAACACAAAAATATTTTTTCAAATCGGACCAGGAGTTTCGGAGTTTAGAGCGTTCAAACAAACAAACAAAAAAAAACAAACTCATCAGCTTTATAATATTAGTATGAAGTAGGCAGAGGTGCACAATGCGGCACATGATTTTAACTAACATCATATTCTCAATATAATACCAGTAGTTTTAATAATAGATACTCACCACGGTAACACTTCTTATGAAACTTACGATTATATTACGGTGCAGGTGTATCTTTTTGTAAATCATTAATATTTTAGGTGGCCATTTATGTCGAGTGTGCAACAAGTAAAATTGTATTAGTTAAGATATAAATATTAAGGTACATTTCTAATAAAAAATAATGTTAGTGTACAATGTAACACCCCGTTTTCACTGTTTATGTTATGAGTCCCATGTAATAGGGAGTGAGCCATTGCCATATGTATACCGGGCACAGTTCCAGACTCCGTGCTACTACTGAGAATTAGAAGTTTGCAAAATGGCATTTGATATTTTAATAATTTTGTTGTATGCAATATTTCGCATTATGAGCTTGTGTGAGGCGGGAGGGAGTGTCAGACTCTTGCTGACTAAAAACCACCCCGTTCCTTCTCCTGAACTTCGAGCCAGAGCCCAGGCAACCCGTTACGTCCTCCGCGACTCCTTCGGCATCGGCATCAACCCTATTGGGCCCCATTCGTGGTTTTTTTATGGTAAGCGATAAGCGCCGCCCATGGACACCCGCAACACCAGAGGCGTTTGGGTTTGAGTTTTTTAACAAATCTTTTTACTATATTTGTATTGTAACTTTCGTGAGACATACTAAATAAATTATTATTGTTTACGTGAGTAAGCCGAAAACATAAAAATTTAAATGTTTTTACGTATCCTGTAAAGAGATTTTGTCAAAGTGACGCCAAACTAGATCAATGTTTTATTTTACAAACAAGCAAATTGTTTCACGCGGGACTTCTTGCAGCAATCGGTTGCAATACTACTGCGCAAACCAGTAAATAGTCACGGGCCTGCGGACGGCGAGCACGGGTGACTCGCCACCCGACCAGAAACAGGCCCGAAAGCCCCAAGGAGTCATCAGACCGCTACAGATGGAGCCCAACAGTCCGGATGCCGATACGGAGCCGCGGAAGACTTAACGGGTGTCGCGGAGAACCTAACGGGTAACCGGAGCTCCGGCTCGACGTGCAGGAGTAGGAACGGGGTGGTTTTAAGTCAGTAAGAGTCTGACACTCCCTCCCGCCTCACGCAGGCGGGAGCAGTCATTCGATGATTTTCCCCGCTTAAAAAAAAAGACTTAACTGGTTACCGGGGCTCCGGCTCGAAGTACAAGAGTAGGAACGGGGTGGTTTTTAGTCAGTAAGAGTCTGACACTCCCTCTCGCCTCACCCGACGGGAGAAGTCATTGGATGATTTTCCCCCCTCAATAGTATTTGTTTGTTTTCGTATCTCTCTGCCACTTTTCTATCAACCCTTTTCCCATAACAGTCATCATAATCATAGTCCATCATCATTATCATCAACAGCCTATAAGTGCCCACTGCTGACCAAAGGCCTCGTCTCACACGGAGAAGGTTAGAGCATTAATCACCACGCTTGCTCAATGCGGGTTGGCAATTTCAAACTTATAATTAGAAATTATAAGCCCAGGTTTCCTCACGATGATTTTCTTTCACCGTTTGTCAGTGGTGTCAATAATAGAAAGTACATATAACTCGGAAAAAGGTTTAAAAGGAAAATTGGTACTTGCCGTTGGTAGGTTTCGAACACGCATTCTCATGCATGAGAAGCAGGCGTCTTACACCTCCGTGTCACTACGACACTAGTCAATAAATCATATTTATTTTTAAACTAAGTAAAACGTTAATAATAACCAGCTCCATCAACAGCCTGTTACAAAAACAACTGATTGAAAATCACCTCCCGTATTTATTTAGCATTTTTATAGGAGAACATCCAATTAAACTTTCGCGCTTTGTAAATTGAAATTGCAAATGGCTGCCTATTTTACCACAGATAATTTATTAAAGATGGACGTTGTTTACTGTCAACAGTTTGTGTTTTACTAGCTTTTATTCCGGTTTTGCTTGTATTTTTAGGATAAAAGGATAGCGTAATTATTTTCTAGATTAGTATCTCTGTGCTTACTTTTATTCAGGGTAAAGGGTGTCGGGTTCGATTCCCGGGTCGGGGAAATTAATACTGGGTTTTTAAAAATTCTCAGTAGTAGCACAGAGTTTGAATTGTGCCAGGTGTATGGCAATAGGCTCACCCCCTATTACATGGGATTCATAACATAAAGTGGGTGTTACATTGTACAGTGGCATAATGTGCACCCCTGCCAACAGCTTCGAGGATAAAAGGCGTGATATTATGTATGTTATTTTATTTAAATTGATATTAATTGTAAATAAAAGATGAATAAAGAATAAGAAGTAATTTGTAGAGTTAGTTGCCTGGCTGGTACGATACCCGCGGGAAGTGTACGGGTAGACAAATGTACTGTACCCTGTCATCACAGTACAGCTATTATTGGCTATGTAATTCAATATTTGTTAGCAATAAAAGGAAATGTATGTATCGTCGAGATAATCCTAGTTTGCGTGCGACATGCTTTCAGACTATTTGCATACTACTTGAATGGAAAGTGGGTAGGCAGGGCTTGTAGTGTAGGGAAAATGATCTATTTCGGTTTTTCGTAAAGATTTCGTGTCTAAGAATAGCATTGAATACTTGACTGAAGTAAGTTTGTTTAACTCACAGAACATACTCCTTTATATGTTCTGTGGTTTAACTTCCCCATACATAAGGTACTACCGCAGGGTTTAGCCCGCTGTTCAGCTCTTATAGATCTTAGCATGATATTTTATAGCCTACAGCCTGCTTTGGTAAACACAGTGCAGTTCAGTGAATAAAAATGTTGTTTAGATGCGGTGGCTGGGCAACCGGCTGCCGTGCAACGTGTCGCGGGTTCGATTCCCGCACGGAACAACACTTTGTGTGATCCACAAATTGTTGTTTCGGGTCTGGGTGTCATGTGTATGTGAACTTGTACGTTTGTAAACGCACCCACGACACAGGAGAAAATCCCAGTGTGGGGCAACGTTTTTTTTTTAATAAAAAATAAAATAAAGTGATTCAGTACAGAGAGAATTGTTACAAGAAATGTGGCTTCGTTACAAAGCATACAATTTCTTATAACAATTAGCAGTGGGTTTGCCGAGCAAAGCCTCTTCTCACACGGAGAAGGTTTGAGCATTAATCACCACGCTTGCTCAATGCGGGTTGGCGATTACAAACTTATAAATCCCCAACGATCCTCAAACTCCTAATCCCCAATAGGCCGGTAACGCACTTGTTACGCCCCTGGCATTCCATTAGTCCATGGACGACGATTGCTTACCATCAGGTGATACGTCAGCTCGTTTACCGGCTTATGCCATAAAACAAATTAATCGTGTAGTGACGGCCAAGCTACCCTCTCTCCTAGCGAAATAAATAACCAACCCCAATTCAAAATATATAGATCGATTGTGATGGAACAAATGTCCCACGACATGTATCGGCGACATGTCAAGCCGAAGCCTGCCGATTTCGCCCGACATAATATTATACGGCGACAACAAAGTCAAAGTCAAAGTCAAAATCATTTATTTCAATTAGACCAGGAAGGCACTTTTGAACGTAAACATCGAAAAAATTTAGAAGTGAAGCTAGTTGCTCATTCCAAGGTGTAGATTCCTATGGAGAAGAACGAGCAAGAATCTCCATAGGTTACTCTTTTTCAATCGGGTTTACAATACAATTTTCTAGATAAATAGTTTTGTTGGTTCGATTGTGTGAGAACAATGCAACACCTAAATGCAGTCAAAGAGATTGAAAAAGACACGCGCGCCTTATGTCCACATCGACGTTGATGTTGCCAGATACCTCGACCAAACAGCAATCCAGCAACCTCGCGCAACTCCACCCAATATCGCTGGCGAGACGTGTTGCAGTACATTTTGTCCCCTAGTGTATCCTTGACACATCCAATTCTTGATATCTGTTTTTTTAATATTTGGTGGGGCGACGTTTGACCACTATCTCGCCTGGTGGTAAGCGATGATGCGGTCTACGATGGAGCACGTCGTCCCATAAGCAACCTATTCACTCGGGCCTTGAAGACTCCCAGGTAATACAGACTCTGGCAAAGAATTCCACTCACTGTCGATTTTAAGAGGTGGATTATTAAACTCTTTAGAATACAGAAAAATATAGTTTTATGAGAAAGACTTTTACATAGGCATAACAATCAATCATAGAAAAAAACGCAAGAGAGAGGATAAAAAAATAAAAAAATGCCAACCTAACAGACAATAAAGTAGAGGACTAATTTTTATTTTAATGTCCGTCTGGTAGATTATTTAAAAACATTAGATATGTATTTTTTATTTTCTTACAGAAACGAATACTTTGACGATATATTGATTTGAAATGTCGCGTGACGTCACTTCTATGTACATTTTATACGTAGAAATGACGATTTAGCCCCCACTCCTAAACTTTGAA